ACCATGACATTCCTGACGCAAAAAGCAAAGAAGACAAGGGCTTCTTCCTCCAAGCCTGGCCCTCGCTGGCATCCGCAGATAACTTCGCTTTAGTATAGTACTCTAAACCCCCTTTCTCATAAAACAAAAAGCTTTGGTAAATTATTCAAAGCTAATTTGGCTTACTAGTATTCTAGTATGTCATACATGGTGTTTGGTATTTGATCTGTGGTCTCAGAAAACACTCGAACAATGAAGAGTGCCCAAACAAATGCCAATGAAACTACTGGCAGTGACGACCATGATCTTGGCATTGCGGCGGGGACAAACCAACAAGGAACTGGATAAAAAAGCAGCAGATGCAATAAAGGAGGATCAGCTTGAAAATCTTGCCCACAGTCACATTAAAAAATACAACAATGATGGCAGTGACGCTCTTGTTGTGCCTCAAGCACACATATCCACGGACCCGAACCCATTTTTGGATGTTAACGGCATCCAGCCAATGCCAACAACCTTATTACGAGCACGAGTATTGCAAAATCAACATCCTGGCGCATATGCAGTTGGGGGCATGGGCAATCACTCTTCAGCTAATAATCACAGCATCACCCACAATGCGGAAAATGTCCCATGGGACATCACAAGCAGGAGCACAACTGAAAATAGGGGGCTACCACTTGCAAATCAGGTAGCCGAGAACTCAAGTTTACATCTAGCAGATTTGGAAACTGAACACAGCAATTTACGGGAGAAAAGGGATGATTCCCCTTTGGTGGTTTTCGGAACCATTTTCTACCTCCTTTGTCTGCTTGTGCTCATCGTTGCGGTTGCTGTGGTTGCAAGCTCCAACGGGAATGAAGAAGGAAAAGAACAGAATGGTCCTTTGGAATCACAAACAATGGCCCCATCTGGACTTCCGGATGAGACACTCAACTTCTCCAGCATTGAGCTTTTGATCATACAGGAATTTCCCAATTACGCACTGAAGCACTTGAGGAACCGGACTCTCCTCAGTCCCTTGCCTATGAATGGTTACAGGATGACTTGGATGTAAACAACTACACCACCAGCAGACTCAAGCAGAGGTTTGCGCTTGCTTCACTCTTCCATGCTACAAATGGAGAGGACTGGTTGGTGAATGATCATTGGTTGAACCATTCAGTTCATGAATGTTTTTGGTTTGCAAGAGAGACCTTTTTGGAGATTGATGACGGCCATTCTTACATTGACATAGCCCACCCCAATCCTTGCGAGATGCCACCCGAGCAAATCAATGGCTCAAGAGCTGTCAACATTGAACATAACCACTACCAGCATATCTGGCTCCATTCTAATTCACTTCAAGGAAGCTTGCCCCTCGAACTTTTTTGGCTTACTGACTTGAGAAGCATTTCCCTATACAACAACCGAGATGTGGCTGGTTCTATTCCCTCCAATATTGGGAAGCTAAGCAAGGTGGAAGCCCTTAACTTGGGAGGAACAAGCCTTTCTGGCTCACTTCCAACTGAAATTGGCCTCTTGTCTGACTCCATGTTCAGTATTGCCTTAATCAATGCTCAATTGGAAGGAAACCTTCCATCAGAGCTAGGTCTCTTGCAAAACCTGCGTGATTTGTTGGTGGATCAAAATAGATTCACTGGGGTTGTTCCAACTGAGTTGGGCTATGCATCAAATTTGGAATGGATCTACTTGGCTGAAAACTTGTTCACAGGGACACTCCCCAACTCTCTGGTGCATCTTCCATTGGCGCAACTCTACATTGAATTGAATCATTTCTCAGGAACCCTGCCCACAGAAATTGGTTTGCTTAGTGACGTCAAGGATTTTGCTGTATACGGCAACAGCTTCACTGGAACGATCCCAAGTCAAGTGGGTCTTATGTCCTCTGTGGAACGTTTTGACATTGATGACAACTATGTACATTTCTGGAACTTTTCCCTGTGAGCTTTTGCTTCTCACCTGCATGAGAGAATTGTGGGCTTCTGTAATGGTCTCACTGGAACCATCTCCAGTGAGTTTGGCGGGATTGCCATCCTTGAACGTTTCGTAACAGCTGCAAATGCTCTGACAGGAACCATTCCTTCCGAGTTTGAACAACTTCAACTGCTGAACACCTTGAGTTTGGAACATACGAACTAAAGAATTCAACAAGTTGCATTGCTCACTGATCTTTGCGCCATGAGAATACATTGGACTGCTCTACAGAAAGGGGTTTTAGACAGAGTGCTATATCTATGGTTGAGTAACAGCCATCATGTTCAGATCGTGTTGTGCTTTGAGGCGATTCGAAGTTCGAAGCCCGCTCGACAGCGCCACGAAATTTGCACAAGCAATCTTTTTTAACCAGCTCTTCGTCATTTCGTAGTCTCTCGGAAGCGTAACGGAAGACGTATCCACTTTCCCTAATGACAGTCAAAACAACCTCTTCGATTGTCATGCCTTTGAGCATTCCTGCATTTTCCTTCACCATGACCAATCCAGCCTCGTGGAGGCTCTTTTGATCGTCGTCGACCCACTCTGCAGATATGTCGGACCTACCAGTACACAGGAATTCCTCCACTCTCGGGTCGTTAGTGGTGGTGGTGATTTTCTTTGCTTGGCTTGGCTTGGCTTGGCTTGGCTTTGTGTTGTTCTTGTCTCTTTGTTGTCTTGCGTCATCTCTTGGAGATGGAATCGAACCGAACCGAAACTCGATGGCAAAACAAATACTCAATAGATACGTACCGAAACTTTATTGAAGATCTGTACTGTACAGGTGTTGAGACGTGGATAAGGATGACAAAGGTGAGGCTGCAGAGCTGGTAGAAATATGAGAGCTGGCTGTTTGCAGTCTCGGTACCGAGGGAGTCCACCCCACCACCACCCAGCTTCACGCTCGGTAAGCTTGTCATGCAGTTGGAGGATAATTCGATGGTTGCTGTCAACAACCAGCTAGTGTCCAGACCGTATTGGAGAACAACCCTACTGCAGATCCACTGGAAGAGGAATATATTATCCTACTGCGAGGCAGTTTGGAGACAGCATGATTGGTACCGGTACGGTACCGGCATACGAAATGCCCTTTCTTTGACTACGTTTGCTTGCTTCTTCATCCTGGCACCTGGCATATGCTGGACTTGATTGAAATAAATTCGCTTTCAAATCTTTCTTTTCGATATCCTGCAATATTTGGTGGTTTGGTGGTGATCCACTTGTATCAAATGAGTTGTTTCCTAAAACCACCACAGAACACCGGCAGTGCATGCCAAGCTACTGGCTCAGATAGCTACTCTAGCTAGAGGCGCTACCGGTACTCCAGAAACTTGCTTCACATCACCTAAGAAGCCGACCACCAGAATCAATCTACTTGCTTCACCTTGAGGAGATTGAAGAGGAAGTCACCTGAACGTTGTCGGGTTAGTAGCGAGCAATGTGATAGAATTGCCCTCAACGGACTGAGGGTCTTTCACACTTTTATCGCTGTATGTGTGTGCAAGTTAGTCTGTACGTCCGGCATAAAGGATGGGGTAAATAATAATTGTTAGTTGGTAAAATATACTCCGAGTACCAAACTATGTGTGTGTGCAAGTTTGTATGTACGTCCGCCATAAAGGATGGGGTAAATAATAATTGTTAGCAGGTAAAACATACTCCGAGTACCAGAGTCTGTGTGCAAGTTAGTCTGTATGTCCGTCATAAAGGATGAGGTAAATATTAATTGTTAGCTGGTAAAACATACTCCGAGTACCAATGTGTGTGTTTTGGTTGGCTATCGATAGACTACAGTAGACTGTGTGTTCAGTTGAACACAGTGTTGGATTTGGCCAAAGAATCAAATCTCTTTTTTGACAGTTGAGGGCATCAGCCTTCGGCTGTCTGTTCTTTGAGCACAATGCACATGTATGTTATTACGCGCGGCACTACCGGCCGTACTGTAGGCTACGATGAACAACAGTGTCCAGAAGAAAAACAAATACAGTGTCGAGAACGATGATGAACGAATGGACGGCGATGCTGGAACCTTGTAGAATATTGAGTGAGTCGGACTAAGCTACCCAGCAACCTGTGCTCCCTTTTCTTGACGACGACGCAAGAAGCAAGGGTGAAGAGGCAGTCCTCAGTCGGGTCTAGAGAGGTGCCAATACCATACTAGGTGCTACTAGCTAGCTAGGCCAGAGCTACCATCAACAGTGTTGAGATCTTTGGCCATGATGAATGAATAGATATCGTAGCCTTTGCCATTCAGCCCGTTGCTGCATGCGGTCAAAGCAGTGAACCTATCTTGGCATTCTAGCCAGCTAGAGATATAATACCTTGGCTAACTTTGGCTACTGTAGCTTTGCCAGGGGTTCCTGTAGCAGTTTGGGTGGTACAAAAATAAATGAATGAATAAAAATGGGAAGGCGTCCATGCTTGTTGTTGCGCAATGAGAAGTGCGGAAGCTCCGTTCGACAGCTGTTCAAACAGAGAGTGAATGTCGACGCCTTCTGACCAGGTTTGGTGTTCGTTAATAAGTGACGTAAGATTTAATTAGTTGTCTGTTGCAGTTGCTTCTTATTCTCAAGAGAGAAGCATTCCACTTAAAGCAAAGGAGGAATGACCATTCTGGACCATTCTAAAGATCTCAGGTCTACTCTGAACAGCTATAGTGAGTGGAAACTTCAATGTAACAGTCACTGAAAGCTCGCCAAGTTAAGTGAATGATGACGTCTTCATTGCCCTGCTTACCGGTCACAGTATTGTTCCGCTACCCTGTGAGAGTTCTGTGTTTTGCTTGGAACTTCTTACCATCGATAGAAATTATTGCAGTGTTCCCTCATTCCTTTTATTTATGGTTCTTGTCTTGTCTTGCAAAAAGGTGCGACTTGATGTAAATAATTTGTACCACTCAGATTGAAAAACCGCACACACCGTTTATCAACCAGAGATACTATTAATAGCTAGCTAGTACAGTTGTACCGGTAGCAGCTCTTCCTTCCACTGGTATGTACTCGTAGCTTCTCGCTTGGCTTGGCTTGGCGGATTCACAGATACCGGTATAGAGATCCGTATCGTATCATTATTAAGATTAGTATCCGACCATGACGACTACGACCTCTACCCCCTCCACTCGTCTACATGTACGAGAAGAACAAGAGGAAGGAGAGCTTATGGTAATGCCATTGCCGACGCTGCGGTATCACAAGAGCGATTACGCGGTTGCCGGAGGGACTGCCCCCAACAGTGCTTCTACGACCGAAGAAGAGGACGAACACGAACTCGATGACCTCCTCGGCGACAGCAGTAATGTCCACCATAGCAACAATAACAACAACAATGAACTGATTGAACAATTCATGGCGCGCATGGGTCTGACGGGCGAGGGCTCCGTTCGACAGTCGCTGCTCAGCATGACATCCAGTCTGACGCTCACGGATTTTGATGAATTGGAAGAAGACGACATTTACGGGGATCACAATGTCGATCATGATGACAATTTCCAACAGCAACAACAACCGTTGGACCAAGATAACGACTGTGTCCCAACTTGTCCTGCACGACGGGTGAGTCTGCAGCAGACATCGCAACATACTTCTACGACTACAAGTAGTACCAACCACAACACTCCGAGTACGATCCAAACAACAACAACAACAACCGATTGCATGCCGAAACGCCCCGGACGACGGACCAGCGAAACCACGTGCCAATCGATTCCCGAAGATTCCATTGCCACGCCAAAGGAAGATGTCGACGAGCTGTTGACCAGTCTCAGTGGTCATCATCGTGTCGATGCCATGCCCAAACGACCGCGGCGACGCAATTCGGATAGTACTTGTAAATCCATTCCGGAAGGAACGGCCTTTTGCGATTTGAAAGATTACGTTCCCATTGTACCGGCACGACGACAAAGCGACAATCGGAGTGCGTGCAAGTCCAGTAGTATTGTCAGTCTACGAGCGTAGCTCGGGATGCATGGAGCTACCCACTATACTAGTATGGAGGGCAAAAGGACGCTACCTAAAGGAAACAAGTACAGCACTTAATTTGGGCATAATGGGTTAAAATTTTGAGTTACATCTGGCTAGCTACCCCACTCGTAGCTTACCTTACTGGCAGCTCCATTCGAGCATAGCTAGCTAGACCGGATGCTCGTTTCTGCGTAGCCATTTGGCTAGCTGCTAGCTAGAGCAGGTTGATTGAACTGTACGTCTTACTGATGGGCAGCCACTGTGCCGCCGGTATAATATCTAGATCGTTCTGCTCCAGCTGAAGCTTAATTAAAACCTCAGCCCGTCCGCTGGGAATCTCCATCAATTCTTTCGATGCATGTAGTTTGTTATGGATAAAGGTGCCGTATGTGCATGCACGGCTGCAGTCAGTGTGTCCTACTAGCTAGCTACCGGGCTGGCAATAACTTACTATCTGCAGGCCCGGGACAAGGCTACCACGTTCAAGTATCCTCGGTCTGCAAATATATATACCAATGACGACCATCAATGGATGCTCCACTGTCATTTCTGGCGCACCCTCAACTTCTTTTCAAATGAATGTGAACGTGGATCCCTGCATGCATTTTCCAACGCATTTCACTTCTCGTGGATGCGCGACGCACGGCCAAAAACACTATCCAACGATCGAGACACTGTTGTGCCCACCACCACAAGAAGACAGTCCCAACTGAACAGTACTGTATCGATCATGCTGTCTCTACTTTTATGGAACAAAAACATGCTTGCCATTTGGTTGTGGTTGCTGTTGATGCCATCATGGACCAACACTGTTCAGGCTGCAAATTCCCTGGGACCACAATTTGCAGAGATTCGAGAGGAGTACGGTACGGTGGGATTGGCTGGCTGGAGCGTTGCTGGCAATGGATCTTTGTGTACCTATGGCTCTGCCCCCGGAGAACGAATCCTACATTCTGGTGAGAAACTCGTAGTGAGAGGGGATGGTCGCTTTCATATTGGATCTGGCTGTCACCAAGAGCATGACATCCACCTTGTTGGCAATCCTCATTGAAGATCGTAGAATATCGTCCTGGGAGGCAACACTCGTGCTCTCATTTATGATGCTTTGGGAACGCCCTATGAACATGTCACTCTGAGAGAACTAGCTAGTAGGCCATCTATCAGGCCTCCCCAACAACCCTTCAACCTTGGAGTCAATATGCTACTGGATCTTTGCGAGCAAGGATCCACGAGACGACAGAAAGAAACTGACACGGACTGTCTTGACATCAAACCCAGTGGTTACACCACGAACAGAGTTTGCTTATTCCAACATGGGCATCATTGTGGCAGGCCATATTGTGGAGGAAACTACTGGAATGACATGGGAGGCTGCATTGGCGTCATTGCTGTTTGAGCCTTTAGGCATTCAGTTGACAGCAGACCCAATATCCAAAATGACGGGAGCCCCCAACAACAGCAGAGATGCGTGGGGACACTCGAAATGCTTGAATTTCCTGATACCCTGCGACCCGGCATTTCCCTTTTTTGAATGTGACAATCCAACTGTTTATGGCCCTGCTGGAACATTCTCGGGCCCTCATGCCGCCATGGCCCGATACCTGGCGTTTCATGTGGCATGCCACCGGGGAGATCACGATGGGCTACTACTCTCGCAGGAATCTTGTCAAACTCTTCATTCTCCTGCAAATGCTTCCATTACCACTGGCTTTGGCGTGTATGGATATGGATGGTTTTGTATTGAGGAGGGTAGGGTGTGCTATCATGATAGCTCCAATGTATTGAATCTGTATGAAGCCTGGTTGGTGTTTGACAAGAACAGGGCTTATGCGGCTATGACCAATCAACCCCCCACCCCAGAGGCATATGATGCTGTGAACCACACGATCACAACAATGATTGAGCTACCAGAAGATCAAGAAGATTGTTCTGCGCGCATCCCTTCTTCTGTTTACATTGACCACTAGCTACTGCGATAGAAAGGCTTGAGTTGCCGTATCTAAAAAGGAATGTTTGATCCTTGGGAGCTTGACCACAGCCATGGTGCCCGGCTCTAATGTTGGCAGACCTCGAAGGTGTCAACTTGATCTGTCCCTCACAATATGCCAGGTGGCAGTTGGCGGAGATTCCCATCCCAGGCTGGTGCGGTAGACAGCAGCGAACACGTTCCTACACACGACAAAGTAATCCTGCAAAAGAGTATTGGGAGTTTATGTGCCGCCTCCTTAACTTTCTGGGGATGAACGGGTGGGCACGGTCAAGTGTGGTTGCAGGCAGACCAAGCTGCATCAAAATCGGAGACTGCCTCCAACGGGGCTTCTCCAATAACGAGGGATGCCCGTGGCTGCATGGTGGCAATGACCAACCACCACACCAGCCGAGGATGCCACATCTGGGATGTGTAAAACATCTGTCTTCTCATCGATTGTAACCACGGATATCTTTTGTCGTTTCCGCTTCACCCATCTACAAGATCCATCTATACCTTTGAGCAACCAAATCGTTCTGAATTCTTGCCTCTAGCAGTCTTCTTTGATCGGACTCGTTCATGTAGTGTTTTGTGTGTTGCAATGGTGCATTGGCCAATGCCTCGTCAGCAGATTGCAACGCCATTTCGGCCAGGGCTAGCACGTCATCAATGTCAACTTCGCTGGCTGCCATGATTGTTGCTTCTTCCATGTGGTCGTTCGATGCTTCCTCTTTTGATGCCACTTCCTGCTCCAAGAGAGTACTAGTAGTACTTTCATCGCCACCACCCATTGCTGTCGTTGTTGCCACGTACAAGGCAAAGCCGGCAAATGCCAGCTCTCCGCCGATCACAGCGGCGCCTCCTGTAAACAACCAATTGGGCAATACACGGTGCAAGCCATCCCAGAAACCCCAGACCGTTCCGGAACCAATCGCCGCATCCGTCGCCACACCCACAGCCGCATCGGCCACGGCACCGGCTGCCGAGGATACGCCATCCATGACAGCATCACCCACCACGGTGGCGGCATCTCCAACCATTTCGGAGCTTGCAGCCAACAAGGCTTCTCCCAAACCTGTTCCATCGACGGCGGCATCGGCTGCTACAACCGCCGCCGCGGAACCAACAGCCACCCGAGACGAGGATGCCAGCACGGTGGCCTTTTTGGCAGCAAAGAAAGGAACCGCAGTCGCACCCAGTCTTGCCGAGGCTGCCGTACTGGTTGCTTTGCTGGCGGCGGCCGTTCCAGTGGCGGTGCCAGTCAAGATTCGTGAAGATGTTGTTGCTGTTGTCGCTGCTACCCCCGCTGCTGCAGCACGAGAGGCTGCCACAGATCCGGCTGCTGCCGTGGTAGTAGACGAAGTCGATGTGCTGGCGGTTGCCGCAGCCAGCCCTCCACCCGCCGTGATGGCAGCTCGTGAGGCCGCCACTGAGCCGGCAGCTGCAGTGGTAGTAGACGAAGTAGATGTGCCGGTGGCTGCTGCAGCCAGCCCACCCGTAATGGCAGCTCGTGATGCCACAACACTACCAGCAGCAGCACTACCAGCAGCAGTGGACCCTGAAGTTGTGGTAGCCGTCGTGGCGGCGACTCCAGAAGCCAAGGTGGTGGCTGTCCGAGCCACCGTCAGAGATCCAGCTGCTGCCGTACTAGTGGTAGTAGCCCCAGTTCCTGCTCCAATCATTCCACTGGCTCCAGCCGCCGTGGCGACTGTTCTGGCCGCAGTCAAGGAACTTGCAGCAGTCACTCCTGACGTAGTAGCAGTACCCGTGGTGGTTGTAACCGCTGTGGTAGTCGCTGCCACACTGGACGCCAGAGTCGTGGCGGTGCGAGCGGCTGCAAGGGAACCAGCAGCAGCGGAGGTTCCACTGGTGGTCGCTGCTGTGGTAGTACCACTGGTCACGGCAGTGGCAGCAATTCCGCTTCCTGTTGCCATTGTGGTTGCCGTTCTAGCCACCGCAAGAGTAGTTCCCGTGGCAGCGGCAGCTGTTGTCGTCGATGCACCGTTCTTCTTCTCATCATCCTCTTTTTCTTGCATCTGCTTGTTCTTATTTGGCGGCACAGAGGTCGAAGCAAACCATAATCCATCGTTCGTTTCCTTGACATTACTGTTGGCTGATGAGGGGTTCTTCTTGGCGTTCAGTCCAACCGAACGACTTGAGGATCTCCCAGCAACACGAATTGTGGTTGTGCCTGGATTTGGTTGAAATCCACTAGAATTTTCCAATGACAACAGCAATAAAGCTGCCGCCCAAAGCGGTATCAAACGCATTGACAACATCCTTTTAAATGCCATAAGCTGAACCCTTTGAGGTTTTGGTTAGGAGAGACTACGAGAAATGCATAGAACTCAACTCCTTCCTTGTGGACCATGCCCTCGTGGCTCCTCACTCCATCATTATAATTTCCCTACTCTAAAACCCCCCAACATTACCAACTGAGAACAAAAGTTGGTTGAGGGGATCTTTGGAAAGCAACGTCAGTCTTTCGTCATTTTTCTATTCGATTCTATTCGTTTCCATTACATTCTGATTCAAAATTACTAAAACTGATCCTATTTCGTCCTTTTTCCGATTTTTGATCGAATTTCTCTTCTCTAACTAAGACAGGCCCCAATGACAGCAACACACCAAGCATTCTTGGCACTCTAAATTTTTTCTATTTGCTTTCCTTTAGTTCTACTGTCTATTTCTTGTTCTTCTTTGATCTACTACATGCATCGGCTTTGTCTTCTTCTATTTTGGCTGTCTTCCCGCAAGGGCTGTGTTTGTTTTGCTTTCTCAAGCTCAAACTGTGAAAGCACCAGAATCAATTACCATTGGAAGGAAACCATCAGCAAGGTCATTGATCAAGGTCAAAGAAACATCCTTGAGAGTTCCTTCCAACTCTTCATCCACAAATGATTCGATGGAGTCTGTGATATCAGCATTAACTTGAACATCGCCATCAGGCGTGGAAACAGTAGTGGCAATAGCTGTGTCTCCACTGATTGCTGCTTCCGATGTATCAAAGGCAAAGTCTTTGACCTCAAAGTCAGTAATCTTGGTCTGTCCATTGTACTTGGAGAAACCATCAATGTCCAGATTGAAGCTTAGTTTGACCCCTGTGATCTCCACAATGCCAGTCATGGATTCATCCACTTCCATACCACAGTCAGAGGATGTTAGTGCGTAGGTACTGTTCACTTGGAGCCTTCCAATGTTGGCCTGAATTTCAAAGTTTCCTCCATCCCATTTAATCTTGAAGTTGGTGGCCTTGAAGGTTGGCATAGTTTTCATGGTCATCCTGTCAAATTTGAGACTGCTAAGCCCAGTAATTTCATTGATGGTAATGGCAACAGCGCCATCATCGGTGCAGTTGCCAAGCATGGCATATGTGCGGGTGTTGTGTCCACTGAAAGGAAAGGGATCCATGTGATTCCCAAGCTCTTCAATAAATGCACTACCAAGTCGATCCGTGAGTACAGGCATGAGCTTTGCAAAGACTGACTCCATTGCATCACCAACTGCATCCCTGGCATTATTAACTGCATCTCCAACTGCATCCACAATTCCATTAGCTTCTCCAACTGCATTATTAATATGATCTCCCACTGTATCCACAATGCCACCAGCATTATCAACTGCATTTCCAACTGCATCAACAATTTTACCAAAGAACAGCTCACGGTGAGCCTTTGGGGAATTTGAAGTGGTGCTACGAAGGCTTCCTTGGGCGACGACGACAGATGCCATGGATGCCAAGAGAAGGAGAGAAGCAGAAACGATTTTCATCCTGTTGGTGGTTAGGAAAGGAGTAGTTTGGTTTTTTAGTGATTTCTTTGTATCTTTTTGATTGTTGATTTGTGAGAGCTAAGGGTGAGCAATCTCCATGGATTGGGCAAATCGAAACGAACCAGGTACATGTTAGAGCTTTTGCGCATACTAACAGGGTCCCGGCTGGTCCCCACTTTCCTTTTCAAAAGCTTTCTTCATTGGATCGACTTGTATTGATGCAGCCCTTGTGTACTAAACGTGCCGGCATGAATGGTGGTGCCCGAACGCCATGCAAACTGATGTTTCTCTCTGTTTCACCCCTACCTGTATCTCGGGCACACGTTTCGTCCATACAGGTAGACTGTGAGATCTTCACGCGATAAGTTCTTGAATCGATATCTTGTGGGCTACTCGAGAGCTACTTTCAGTGACCTACAACATCAGCTCATGTGGACTGGCCTGTGACTGTGCCTATGGTGCTAGAGCTAGAAGGCACACCAAGTTGGGCTTTGAAGCAGCATTACTACAAAAGTGAGGAATCGGGGCTGCAGAGGTGCATGCGCCCTTTTCGCGCGAAGCTTCACTACGTAATTCTGCATGCTGATGCATGCAAAGCGTGGAAATTATAAGCATGCTGAGCTTCTTTATACTGATGGTAGAGCTGTTGGTAGAACAAACTTGAACTTGCCTTGCCAGCCATGGGCTAGCCAGCTAGTCCAGCTCACCGGCGTAGACTGGTTGTCGAGACAAGAGACTTTGCCCACAAGGTACATGTTACGCTACATGCAACACACAAGTTAGATCTAGTGAATTCGTGTATGAATACATGTACACGTACCCGTACAACCGGGAGCGAGCCACAACTTTGTAAGCCAGATTGCTTATTGGGGCTCATCAATTGGCTTGCCCACACTATCATAGGGCTTTTCTTCTTCGTCTATATGTGCGCCTACGATTCCGGCACGTTGTACGGAAAAGAGCTATGGAGCTCCTCGAAAAGCTCGATGATTCACAGAGGCAAAGCGTTGCCTGCCGTGTCATCTACATTGCCCGCCAGTGACTTTATGGGGGGGTTCGGCACCAGCGCGGGGGAGGGAAAAGAAGAAGGAAAGGGAGAGGGTTATCGGTTGGATTCCAAATTCCGAGGATTGCGCATGTCGGCCAGTCATAAACGACAGATGGTAAGACTCATTACTTGAATTACTTATACAAAAGAGGGGAAACGGCAATGACCAGTCATCTCCCCTCTCTTTGCGACGTCTGAAGAACATGTAAGTGTCAGCAACTACGTCACTGCTACGGTTGCAAATCAATCCCAGAATTCAAATCATTGCAACGGACACTTGCTCGCTCCCTTTCCTTTGCTCGCACCAGACCCTCCTCAAAAAATCGCAAAATTGCCACAAAACAGTCGTACTCGACAAGGTAAGAAGTCAATGCTGCTGTTGTTGTTGTTGTTGTAATCCACAATGGCGACAATGGCATGCTACTAATCACTATCCTATCGGCCGTCCTCATACTAGTATCGGTCCACCGATCGAACGTCGTTCTTCTATCCTTCCACTACCGACGCTCCTTCCTTCCTCTACGGACGCTCCTTCCTCTACGGACGCTCCTTCCTCTACTGACGCTCCTTGATACAACAACAACAACTGCTACTTGTCTTGAAGTCAGCACCTACGTGGGTAGGGGCAAGACACTTGGCAACACTCCTCCTTCCTCTACGGACTCTCCTTCCTCTACCGATACCGCTACCGACCGACTCCTTCCTCTACCGACGCTCATTCCTCTACCGACGCAGCTTCCTCTAGGCACACTCATTCACCATGAGGATCGCAACTACTTCTCCCGCCTTCTCCAAGTGGCTGCAAAGTGTCAACAGATACCCATTCAATGAGCTGAGGGTAACAAGGCAAGGATTCAATTGCAAGTATGTCATTTGTGGGTACAACAGTGATGAGGAGGATAACTTCTGTTTGGCCACAACCAGCATGGAAGTGACCGTTCTTGAGGAGTTGATATTGCAAGGAGCATGCAAACCACTTCCTCCTGCCATGACCGACATCATGGATTACATGCTTGGTCCAGGCCTTCAGAAAAGTCCAAAATGGTACAGAGCTGTCATCTCCACCCTCTCTGAAATGCTGGAGTCGCCGTCGCCACATCCCTGTGAAAGGAAGGATATCTTGATTGAGTGCATCTATTGGTTAGTGAGGGAAAGGATCAGTGAGAGCTATGAGGTGTCCTCCCTTGAAGGACAGTTTTATATGGATGCTTGGCATTTCTATTGTTGCCGCTGGTATGACCACAAGAAGAATATTTCCTTCCAGGAATTGGCTGCGATGAGTGAGACTCTGGTTATTGATTTCATTGGCATTGATTCAGATGATGAGTGAGACTATGGTTGATGATTTCATTGGCAATATGACTGGCTAAATTAGAAATGAATTTGGTGGATCTAAACATTGATTGTTTGTTGCTACCCATACCCAGACAATCTTGATTGGCAATGGGGATCATGTGGTGGTCTTCCTCTCCTGTGTGTCAACCAATGGCAGTATTTGTGACAGCAACCATTCTGTGGAGGACGTGGCTGGAAAGGAGCTGGCAGTATTGGTTGGAATTGCTGCTGCATTAAGGCAAGTTGCATCATTTGAATCTGGTGTTGTTGCTGATAGAGAATCAGGTTACCAATGTAAGAATTTCTTGTTTGTGCTACAGGAGGAGCTGTTGTGGAGGTGGATTGGGTGGTGGAGGCTGGAGCTGTTGGAACCGGTTGTGGTTGTGGTGGTTGTGGTTGTGAATTGTTGTGGTTGAGGTTGTGGAACTGGTTGTGGTTGTGAGCTTCAACTGACTGGTGCACAATCTCACAAGCAACAATCATTTGGTGAGTACTTCTGCCTGTAGGGTTGAATCCACAATGTACTCTGAAAGAATCTTTCTCCATTATCCTCTGCAGTGGTTCTGCATTTGAAATTGTGCATCAGACCAACAGCCTCTGCAATGTCATTGAGGTAAGCCAGCTCTGAATGGTTCCAGTAAGGAACAACCTTCTTCCCACATCAGCTGGAATTGACTTCCTTTCTGCTCGCTGATTCTTGACAGGAAGGTCTCTTGTGCAATCTTGGGTTGTATCTAGCAGTGCCAGCAAGATTGAGTGCATCAGCAAGGGTTCTTTCATTCCACCATTGCCAAATGGCAAACTTGTCATGGAAACTCTAACTTTGACTCTCTCTCCTTGATAGGTACTCAGGAAGCTTGTGCTTGGAGTGGAGAGGTGGATTGTTCATACATTTGTCCATTGGTAGTGGATCAGCAAGTGGAATGCTTTCTCAATGCAGTTGTTACTGCTGGTTTGGTGTCTGGAGTGTGAACAAGGTAATATTCTTGGACTGGATCCAGTCCCCTTGTCCTGGCTTGCTCCTCACTGGCTGTACCTTGTACCTGCAGAACACTGTGAATCTTCTGCCTCATTGTTTCAGGTTCTCTCATCCTCTTCCTTAGGTACTTGGAGTATCTGTTACTGAAGACCCTTGATGATTGCAGGTCTGAGATCTCCACCATGGAATAGTGTTTGCCATCAGCTGATAGGAGACCATGTTTCAGAGCATAGAGAACCTTCTCATAGTCCTCAGGTAGTACTCATAGAGGCAATCCAAGAAGCATTCAAAGCTTCGAATAGTCAATATGTCCCTTCTCAAAGTTGACAGAATCCTTTTCTCGTAATGGAACAGGCCAAGTCTTCCCTCGATACCTGGAAACAGCTGCTCCCAGTAGTCATCCTTGTTGGGCCAGGTGTCACTGTACATGGCAGCTGGATTGAAGTGGCATCTCCTTGCTAGCTGCATTGCTGCATGGGAGAAGTGGATGGTCTTGGTTGTGGGAACCAGCACAGCAGAAGCTATCTCTCCAGTTTCATGGCAGCATCCCAACTGCCACAGCTCCAACCTCTCTCCTCATGTAGTTCTTGACTGGCTGGAAAGTGTGGTCTTGACAGAAGATACCCTTGTTGCAAGCTACACTCTGGATCTCTCTGGTGTGCCTGGCATTGTCACTGATCCTCCATGGTTTCTGTTGGATGCAGCAGCCCTATCATAGAAGTCACGGATGCTGTCACCAAGAGGAGGATATTGTCTGATGTAAGTTCCATCCTTTGGAACGAAAGGAGGAGGTTACCTCTCATTACCTTGCCAGTAAGAATAGTAGGACATCATGGCCCTAATGAACTCTCTGTTGATTGCATTGTAGATGAGCGGCTGCAGAGGGTCACCATTTCCATAGGTAACCATTATAGTATCGAAAACTTCTGTTGCAGTCCTCTCCAAGTGGTAGTCTGTTTTGGGAAAAGCATATTTTGGCTCTACTGGATATAGCAAGGAAACATGGTCTGGGATTGACACCAGTACTTCAGATGGTTGGCATCAAATCTCTCTTGCAGCAGCTCAGACCATGGACATGACCATAACCAAGATGGAGGGCAGCAATGCCAAAGATTGGAAAGAGGTCTTACCCAGGACCATTGTGTTCTATGATTCTTGAGTTGTGCCAGAGAATCTTCCATGGGACAAGGTACAGTAATGCCACATCGATTCCAGTCCACTATAAGCGAGTTTCTGCCCAACATGAGTGGTAGTGAGGAGATCGAATTGCTCCTTTGTGGCTGGGACTGTCATCGTGAGTCCATCAAAGTGTTGCTGGAATAGTCCTTTTCTTTGACTGGTAATGGATTCTGACATGCTTCTGCCATTGCTATCATTGCAGTGGTGCTATTTTGCTTTGTTTCTCCAAAGGTGGCATCCTCTACAAGAGCTGTGACTTTCTCGCAGAACACAGCTGGAGTAGCCATTGCCTTGTACTTTTGTTGAATTCCTTTGGCTGTGGCTGTGGCTTTGGCTGTATTTGTTCTGGGAGCAAAGAAAGCTTCTCCATTTTCTCTTGTGGAATGCCTCCAGCTTCCTCTCTCATTCAGTGGAAGGGGAGCACTGAATTGCCTTGTGAGTCTTCTGCTTTCTTTGATTGTCTCCATGGTCAGCGCATTCAAAGGTCCTTGTCCTTTTGTTATTGTATTCTTAATACAGAAGACAGAGTGGGATCTCTTGGGGACTCTGAGACCAAGATGTCTGGCCTTACAGATGACACAGTTCTTGAGTGGATCAAAGACTTCTGCTACCACTCCTCCCAGTGTTGTTTGCGGTCCTT